AAACAGAAAGTGAGAAATCACTCCCCAGGAGGATGGCCATGCCACAATCCCTTCTCCTCAATTCTCCTCTCAGGATTTTGGGCACCCATGCACATGCGCCCAGCATGTTTTAAGGTGCTAGGTCCAGAACTCGAACTATAGTTGACTACATGGGAATCCAGCAATGTAACCATTACACCATCTGCTGGTACCAATTATTTATTTGTTTGTTTATGAGACTTATTTATTTAATTTATTCATTCATTTATTTTAATTTTGACCAAAGACAGACAGAGAAAAAGTGAGAAAGCAAGCCACCAGGTACAGGACTTGAACCATGGTCGGCCATGTCCACCATGTTAACCACCATCCACCTCGTCATCTGCTGGTTCCCCAATCATTTATTTATTTCCTTTATTATTATTATTATTATTATAATAAATTACTACAGGGATGTGTACTCACCAGAGAGAGAGAGAAAAAGAGACAGAGAGAGAGAGAGAGCACGCAAGCGTACAATGGAGAGACAGAAAGCAAGAGAGCAAACCACCAGGTCGGGGACTTGAACTGTTTCTAGACACATGAGAGTCCTGCATTCGCACCACCATGCCACCTGCTGATCCCTTATGCAACGTTTTTAATCAATATATTTTCTAAGAATAATAGCTATAAGACTAATGTGTGTTAAATATGTTATGCATGTAGCCTACATGACTTGTCTGGACAGTGATAATGGGAACGATTACGTGAGACTGCAAACGGTCGAAGGACAATGATTCACGAGCACATGTCAAACAAACGGCCTTTCAATGAACATGCGGTGTCGTCACGCCATACAGACCTTGTGAGCGGGAATGAGGTTAATAAGAATGGAGTCCAGTAACTCTTGAGTAACTCCATCACCTTCCATGATGATAGAACTCATCAAGTCTAGCATGTGCATTTGTACCTTCTTATTGTGACTATTGCTAAAAAACAAAAGAGAAGGTTGAAGTCGTTAAACTTTCCAGAGTGAAACAATAACCTCAGGGTTCCACTTGAGGGAACTGGGGCACTACTAGCAAAGACATTTTGACTGCTCAGTTTACTTCCTCCCTCTGTTCACAATGACGGCAGCTCTGAGACTGCTGTGAAGTATGTTACAAAAGTAACAGCCACTCTAATTTCTAACAGTATATTCTTTTCAAAGCACATTTTAAAAAACAATGAAAAAACCCTTTAAAGTGAAGTAAGATTCTACACGACTAGTATTCCAAGAGGGAGTTATATTCAGCCTAATGACAATGTCTAAGGACATTTTTACTTACATGTCCTAGATTTTTAAAAGGTGTTCAAATTTTAAGAACAAAATGTACAAGATAAAACTATGCCAACTACTAGTGCAGACTAGCTACGAACTGTTATAGGCGGTCGACTCTCTAGCCTGTGTTCCATGACTGCACCTTAACCAAAGGTCTGACCTGTCAGTTTCACACTTACCCGAATACATATGCACACAGAGTAGAGAATACCACATAATCTACAGTTACGCAGTAGAGCCCCCTTATCACTGACCTGTCCATTTACCTGCATGTTTACCCGAAAACACAGCAACACAAAGCAAGGAATATTACATAATCTAGTTACACGGTGTGGCTTATCCACTGCAGACATGCTCCAAGATCCCCAGTAGAAACACAAAACCTCGGAACCAGATTAGATGTATACTAGGGTTTTTTTTTTTTTTTTTTTCTGTACATACATATACATGATAGTTTAATTTATAAATTAGGCATAGAGACTAACAGCTAATAATATAGAAAAATATACTACAAAAAACCCAAGTGAATATGGTCTCTCTCACTCTCTAAAATGACCTTATTGTACTGTATTGACCTGTTTTTTCACTGTAGCTGACCACAGGTAGATGAAACCACAGAAAGTGAAAATGTGAGTAAGTGAAGACTACTGTACCATTACAGAAACACAAAAATGTTTAAATTAAGATTAAAGTTGGGACCAGCAGATGATTCAACAGTTCTGTGGCTGGACCCCCACCAGGTGTGTGTGCATGCGGGCCCAAAAACCTAAGGAGAGTGGAGGAGAAGGGACTGCGGCATGGTCATCCTCCCTGGGGTGTGATCTCTCCCTTTCTGTCTCTCTGGCAAGTGCACGCACCCTATAGCAAAAATCTCTTCCCCTCCCCTCTCAAAAGATTAAAAGTTTAACATAGTTTATATACGTCTCACTTATCATTTTAAATTAACTTGAAATAATGAATAATAGACCTGTTGGACATTTAATAGCAAAACACAAACATAAAAAAGATGAAGTAAAATTGTCACATGGTTTTCTCCAGCTTTTAGAAAGACATCCCTTTTGCCTGTCCTCTCGAATGTCTTGTTTATTTCAGATCCTACCAATTAAAGAAATAAACTCAAAACTTCCACTTCTAGCCAAGATACAGTAGCAGAGACAAGATTCATTACTCTGCTGCCTGAAATAACTACAGAATCAGACAAAGCCCACAAAATCAGTTTCCAGACATCAGACACCATGCACACGCTGCTGGAAGGGGAACGCGAGCGGTGGACCCTACAGCCTTCCCAGCTACTGCTGGCACGTTCCCAGCTGGAGCGCAGGGATGCAGAGTGCAGAACCCTGGCAGGGTCGAAGTATTCCCCAGAGCCCAGGGACAGAATACCAGAGGGGAGCAGGGTGTTCAGAGCACGAGCTCACTGAGGACCTTGTCACACTCAGGGGAGGAAATTCCCTGAGTCAGGAAAACACTGAGATGTGCAGAGGGAACGAACTCTGGACTCACAGGGGCACTTGGCAGAGAAATCAGCAGCAAATAAACCGCAGATCAAAGAAACTCAATGAGTCCTAAGCTTTACAAACAGGAAGAAAACTCCACAATGATACATCATAATCAAATGATCTTAAAAGGGTAATAAAAAATCTTGGGAACCAGCAGTTAGCATAATGGCTATGTCGCTGGACTCCCACGTAATCAACCGTGATTCGCACCCCGGACCCGGTGGCTTAAAACTCACGCCGGGCGCGTGTGCGTGCGTGCCCAAGATCCCGAGAGGAGAATGGAGAAGGGATTGTGGCAAGACCATCCCCCCTGGGGGGTGATTTCTCACTTTCTGTCTCTCTGTCTCTGTCGGGCGAGTGCACGCGCCCAATAGCAAAAATCTCTCCACCCCCAAAAAAAAAATAAATAAAAAGGGGGTAATAAAAAAATCGTAAAAGTAGCTAGAGAGAGAAAAAAGAGAAATCATCTATACAGAAACAAGTATTAAAATTGACCCCCAAAAAATGCAAATTAGAAACAATGCAAACACGAAAGGGGCTGGCTCCGTGGTGCAGTGGGGACCTGCTGCTGGAGAAGCTGGGTCCCGTGTGGCCACCCTGTCGGAACCCTCAGCCTGGGCAGCTGGAAGTATGCAGGGCCATGCGCATGAGTGCCCAGGATGGGATAAGCTGGAGGGTCGAGGGAGGGGATCTCTGCAGGACCGGGCCCTGTGGGGGGTGCTCCTTGCACCCTCCCTCAGGTATGTGTGCATGTGTTATATTATGAAGTAAAATCAGTCAATCAATCAAACAAACAAAAAAGATGGAGCCATTATCTTTAAAAGTTCTGAAAAAAAGGAGGAAAAGGCCAATCCATTTAGAACTCTGTGGGCTATGAATAACTCTCAAAAACAAAAGTATTGGTGGGCTGGCCCTACAGTGCAGCTGTGCAGAAAGCCAGATCCCTCATGGCTGAACAGGGATCTGGTCCTGGCCCTGGTGACCTGGGGAGTTTCTCGCTTTCTCTCTCTCTCTGTCTCTCGGGTGAGCACAGGTACCCTACAGCAAAAGCCTCTTAAAAATAATAATAAAAAAGCAGGGTGTGCACAAGTCCCCATGATCCCGACAGGATGGCCAGCTGGGAGAAGTCAGGACTGCAGGGGGTTCAGCCCTGTTGGGTAGTTCTTTTCTTCTATCGCTGTTCTTTCTCACTCTCTCATGCACACATGCACCCTGGCAATGAAATACTGGATAAAGACTTTTTCAGACGTAAAAAAATGGAAAGAATTCCATCACCAGCAGATCTGACAGAAAGATTTTCAAAAGTTCTTCTGGCTTCAGAAAAATGACACCAGATAGAAATCTCCATCAGTGCAAAGGAACGAACACCAGGTACAGTAATTACGTCAGTACATACAAATCAGCAGACTGCTCTTTCCGAGGGGAAGTCTTTTGTTTACACATACCTCATTGTGAATTATTTTAATTACATTAACTAGGTAAACAATAATCTTAGTCTTCAGTCTTCAGATTTAGGAAATGAAAATAATAACAGAATATTAATAGGATACAAAAAGCATACATTTAAGTTATTTTGCGAGGAAAGAAGTGTAACTTCAGAGGTATACTTTAGAGAGGGAAGACAGAATTCAGTGGACCATGAAGGTCCCTTAAATAGCATAATGTGACAAATTCAGGATTCTTTTTGTACTTAAAATGAATTTAAAGGCTGGAAAAAATTGGCAACATAGAAACACTGGCCATAAAATATTTATATCCTTTTATGCACATCCTTTATTTTTCACTATAGGGTGCCTGCACTCACTGCAGAGAGGGAAATTTTAGAAATCACTGGGGAGTGGGAAAGGACCACACCAAAATCCCTTCTCTTCCATTCTCTCCTAGGGATTTTAGGCAAGCACACACACACGTGCCCAGCGTGGTTTTCAGGAGGCTGGGCCTGAGACTCAAGCAGCACGGTTGGACATGTGGGACCCAGACACCTTAATCACTATGCCAAAAGCTGGCCTTGCACGTCCTTTTCCTTTTATTTTTCTTTTCAAAGAAGTATTTATTTAACATTATTATTTTTAAATTCTGCTAGTGGTACATGCACATACTAGAGAGACAGAAAGCAGCCACCAGGTCCAGGATTCAGACCTCAGTCAGCCACGTGGGAGTCCAGTGCCTTAACCACCATGCCACCTGCAGGCCCCCGCACGCCTTTTTTCAATGCTGCTCTTCCATTAAGATAAGGAGTCTGTGTCCAGCAAGTGGCACAGCGGTTAAGGCACTGGATCCCTCATGGCCTACTCTGCAGTTTAAATTCCAGACCTAGAAGGGTGAGTGTGTGCCCCAAATCTCAGAAGACAATAGCAGACAGGGGACTGTGGCATGGCCATCCCTCCTGGAGGGTGAGTTCTCCTTTCCCCTCTCTGTCTCTGACCAGTGCATGCGCCCTCCGGCAAATAAGTAAGTAAGGAGTCCATCTAACCAACCCTTGAATCTGATTTTGCCTATGTGTCTTGTTTGGTATATGAGACATCATTCTGAAGTTACCAGTGTTTAAAAGAATGCTAGCCCTGGTACCTGCAGGTGGTCAAGGGCCCTGGATTCTCACATGGTTGACTGCGGTTTGAGTCCTGGACCTGGCGGCTTACCTTCTCACTTACCCTTTCTCTCTCACTCTCAGGTCAAATTTAAAAAATAATAACAAAATTAAATAAACAAACACTTTTTTTTTGGGGGGGGGATAGTGCTAGCTTTTTCTTCCTAGCTTTGAAATCTCCTGATTGATGAGACAAATGTGACCCCCCTGCCCTATTGCCTCACTCTGCCTTAGCCAACTGCCAGATGTCATAAACATGGAGGCAAATCCAGTGCAGAACAAAAACAACAAATAAACAAAATGCCAAGCAGAATCACTAGCTAAATGAAATGGCAACTACCTTAATATTATGAAGTTGGGTTCTTTTGTTACGCAGCAAAAGTTGACTAATACTATGTTTCTATGTTATATTATTTTCTTTAAGGGCTTACTGCTCGTAAAATGGCACAGGAAGGTTTTTTCTTGTGTAGTCTTTCTATAAACTACTACTCTAGACAAGCTGGTCTGATCTTTTCCTATGTATTCCAAGTTAACATCTTATCTTACTAGTGTATCTAAGAAGAAAAAAATCCCATAATACAGTAACATAAAAGTCTACAGAAGAGACCAGCATTTGGCATAGTAGTTAAGGCGCTGGATTCCCACATGGTCAACAGTGTTTGAAGTCCAGGACTAAGTGGCTTAAAATTCATACTGAGTATGTTTGCATGTGTGCCTAGAACCCAATTTCTCACTTTCCTTCACTGTGTCTCTGTGTCTGGGGAGTTAAAAAAAAATCTTAAGAAAAAAATCTACAGAAAACTCTAGAAATTTGCTGTCCACATGTAGCTATCGAACATGTAGAATATGGATAGAGCCACTTGCTGAAATGATAATACTTTTGGATCTAGCAGGATAAATAAAATATACTTTTTAAATGAATTGCCTGTTTCTTCCTGCCTTTTTTTTTTAAGAGTTATTTAATTAAATTAATTAATTATTATTTAATGCACTACAGAGCATGTGAGCTCTCCAGAGACAGAGAGGGAGAAAGTGAAAAAGCAAGCTGCCAGGTCCGGCACTGGAACTATGGTCAGCCACGTGGCAGTTGAGCACCTTAACTACCAGGCCACCCGCTGCCCCTTTTTACCTTTCTTAATACGGCTACTAGGAAAATGTTAAGTTTACATGAGATATACATATCTGCACATAATGTAATATTCTAGAATACATCTCATAGTACTTGGCTTACTATATAAAAATCGAACAAATGAGCTGGACTAAAATTGGAGTTTGGGCTCCCATCCTGCAATTCAGCCTTGGGCAGGCCCCCTTACTCCCTCTCTGTATGAGTTTTCCTATTTCTATAAGGAAAGAAATGATTTAGGCAATGCTAAGATTTTCTGTATAGCTCTAAGATGAGAGGATATAAGAAGTCAGCGTGCTAAGGGATTGGATTTACGATGCTCTCCAGCACTAAAGCACATATACTACTCATACTATATTTTATAGTTTAGTCCTTCATTGCAGAGTCTCATACCGTTTACTTTATAGCTGTAGGTGGCTGCCCCTCTTGGGTAACAAAATGTCCTCAAGGCAAGGGCTCTGCTTTACACTTCTGCTGTTCCAGAGCCCGCAGTACAGACTGGGGCAACCAAAAACTTGATTCCATAATTTTAAATGGTAGGCTATGTGCGAAGGTAGCTTTAAAATAGAATTTCTATTTATTTTCTTTTTCATGTTAAGTTATCTAAGAATTAGAAAATAATTCCTTTAAGCTCTAAAAGATCTTCGTTTACATAAGACAATCCAAATATAAAGTAAAAAAGAGACCAAAAGAAATGCTTAAAAAATAACTTACTTGATCACT